TCTCCTGAAAAAAGGCCCCTACACAAAGACTCCTTATGTGGGAGGATGACACTGAGGTGGAGGACTAGATTAAGGTTTTGTAATCTCTGATCAAAACAATTTCATGTAATTAAAGCCACAAGCATACAGATGTGAATCTAAACCAATGCCTCATATAACTTGAAATTTTTTCTTCTTGGAGATTAAACATTTATGTAACATATAACAACTCTAATTATTGTTAGAATTTACATAGCATCTTTCTTCACTTGAGCCTAAAGTGTTTTATATATGCAATAATTAATTCTTCCAATAACCTTATGAAGCAGAGAAGTAGCACGGATTATCATTCCCATTTTGCAGAAGATAAAATCAGGGCAGGGAAACATGCTGAGATTTGCCCAGATCAGAAAAAGTGAGTGGAAGGTTGTCACTTTTCAATTCTCATTTAGGAACTTACTTATTGAGTTCATGTGCTTTGCTTGTGAAAGATGGTGTGCTTGTGAATAGAGTGGGATGGGTGGGGTGAAAAGGGGGAGATGGTTTGAATAACACAATATAAAGACAAAAGAACATTTGGGAGTCTGTAATTCCAACTCAAGCTATAGGCACAGAAGTTCAATTGTGTCACTGGGCACAGTCTAGGAAACTATAAACTCAGCAAATCTGCCTTGTCCCAGAAATGAGAGAGATATTCTTTTTTTTTTTTTTTTTTTTTTTTTGCGGTACGCGGGCCTCTCACTGTTGTGGACTCTCCCGTTGCGGAGCACAGGCTCCGGACGCCCGGGCTCAGCGGCCATGGCTCACGGGCCCAGCCTCTCCGCGGCATGTGGGATCTTCCTGGACCGGGGCACGAACCCGTGTCTCCTGCATCAGCAGGCGGACTCCCAACCACTGCGTCACCAGGGAAGCCCAAGAGAGAGATTCTTTTACTCCCTTATGAAGGGTATGGATGTTAAAGATAAACAAAGTATTCAATTTTTACATTCCTGACAGGAGGGAAGAGTGAGGGACTCCACCATATAAGGAAATGGGCTGAGATGAAAACTATGATGCACGCATTCCCTGACCATGCTTTCCAAAGCAGCAACCTGTTATCCTCTGTGCTCTTACTCTGCTTAATTACTCTTCATAGCACATACATATTCACTTTTTTTAATTGTCTATCTCCTCCACTAGAATATAAGCTCCGTGAGAGCAGGGCTTTTATTCTTATTCATTGATGTTTTCATGGCCTAGAACAGTACCTGGCATCTAAAAGATATTCAAAAAATTAATGAATTGGGCTTCCCTGGTGGCGCAGGGGCTGAGAGTCCGCCTGCCGATGCAGGGGACATGGGTTCGTGCCCCGGTCCGGGAAGATCCCACATGCCGCGGAGCGGCTGTGCCCGTGAGCCATGGCCGCTGAGCCTGCGCGTCTGGAGCCTGTTGCTCCGCAACGGGAGAGGCCACAACAGTGAGAGGCCCGCGTACAGCAAAAAAAAAAAAATTAATGAATTAATTTAATTCAAAATAAATGAAGAATGCCTGAAGGTTATAGTTCTAGCTCTGCCACTGATCAGTTTTGTGACCTTGGAAAAGTGTCTTGGAGAAGTCTTTTTAATCTCTTGGGGAATTTGTTAAGAAAAAAAAAGCATTCAACCAGATAATCCCATTCAATGCTTCAATACTGTGATTTTATGTATGTAATGAACCATCATACAAGGCAAAGTGTGATGAGTGGTAAACTAGGGTACAGTGGATAACTGTCACATTTCCTGGCTGCCCAAGCATCTTTTGAATAGCCTTCTTCTGTTCAGACAATTTACTACCTTATGAGTACTACCTCTCCAAGAAGGATATTAGAAGTTCACTTGCCCAGCTTTCCTTTTAGCTAGGGACAAGTCATTTGACTTGGGTTCTGCCTATGAGATACACCTTCAAGAGATTTTTTTTAAGGTAAGCAATGTGAGGAAACAGGTACCGTGTAGAGTTCACTTTTTGGTGGGGAGGCTGCAGGAGTTCCTGCTTTCTGGGGCTCCATATCAACCATGGAGTGGAAGAGTGTGGGTTGCGTAGCAACAGCAATGTGGTTTAATGTGGCTGAAGATTTGTGGAGTAGGGAATGAAAAGGAGAAAACAGTGATTCACTGAAGAAAAAGCAAGGCCTTCTGAAGTATCACAGACTTGGTCCAAATCCTGCTCTGCCACTTACTGGCTGTGCATTTGAGTAAATTATATAACCTCTTCGGCCTCAGTTTCATCATTTTTAAAATGGTCACTGTCTAAATTCACTCACAGCCTCTGAAATCTCTTTTGATGCCACAATTCCCCAGGGATTTCTGCTAGTATGTTTGCCTCTAGATCAAACTGGGTCAAAGTTAGGCTTTAAATGATGGGTAAAATTAGGTCAATTTATAAAGCTGCAGGAAGATAAAACACTGAGATACAACAGTAATAACAGAGACAGCAAAGTCAACTAATAAAAGGCAATCTTTTCCATATGTATCAACAGGCCCAAAGACATTACTGTCCAGCAGAATATAATAATTGATGCTATAACAATTATCTTTAGTTGCTAAGCAAAGATTAAATTACGGCCCATTTACTCCGGTTATGGTAGGGAAGTAAGTACTACATTTTATGTATATTTCTATCAAAAGCGGTTCCAATGAACAAGTTTTGGTGCTTAAAGGCTTTTTAGTGATGCCAGAAAGTGAAATATAATAACTGATATCAGAATATGAGAAAACATTATGGGCATAAATCGTTTCATTTCAAAATTGGCTAGAATAACCTAAACTTTTTTCACAGAGACTCTCTGAAGCCTAGGAGCTCCTAAGTGCCACTTTAGAATTTAAAGAAAAGAAATATACTCTTTTCTATGTAAGTCTTCATTACCCAGAAATAACACCATAATAAAGTCACAAGGAAACCAGCAAGCTGGCCTCAAGAACGCTTTTCCCCAAAATCCTCCCTGACTGCTGATACCAAGTAGGCAAGCATTTGCCTGAGTTTTTCAACTGTTACATTGATACCCATATTTATTCCAATTTCCTCTTCAAGTTTACATTTCTTTTTTTTTTTTTTTTTTGCGGTACACGGGCCTCTCACTGTTGTGGCCTCTCCCGTTGCAGAGCACAGGCTCCGAACGCGCAGGCTCAGCGGCCATGGCTCACAGGCCCAGCTGCTCCGTGGCATGTGGGATCCTCCCAGACCGGGGCACGAACCCGTGTCCCCTGCATCGGCAGGCGGATTCTCAACCACTGCACCACCAGGGAAGCCCCAAAGTTTACATTTCTTATTCCTCCTTCCTAAATATGGGTATTTCCTGAGGCACAGGTCTTGGCCTTCTCTTCTCTATAAATACTTTGTCCTTTGGAAAGATCATATACACTGATGATTTCAACTGTTGTTTCTTCATGGATGACTCACACATTTGTCTTTCATCAGCTTTAGTCCTGTATTTCTAACAACCGCCTAAAATTTTTCTTTTGAATATTTCCCTACTATCTCAAATTCTACAAATCTTTTTTGAGCTCTGAGCTCATTTTTGCTTTAAAACCAACTCATGCTATAGATATCCCTTCTCAGTTGCAATTTTCCAGACTTGAACAGGAGTCTTTCCTGATTCCTCCTGATCCTTGTTTCCCATCATCCACTTGGTTACTATAACCACTCAATTACTGTAACCCTGGTCTTTCTGCTCTCGCCTTTACTACCCAACACCAAGATTATCATATCTTCCCATCCATACTATCCTATACACTTTAGCTAGGTTAATGTCTCTAAAACGTGGCTTGGAACATTCATAGTTCATCATTCACTCCACAAATGTTTACTGAGTGCTTACTTTATACAAAGTACAATGTTACTCACTCCAGGATGTAGAAATGAATGTAGAATGAATGTAGTCTACTAGGGGGAAAAGACTTCCACATAAATAATTTAGTTCTAACCTAGAAAGTGGTAATAACTGAATGAATAGATGAAAAACGGCTCAGAAAGCATAATGGACATTCAGTGGAAGGAAAACTTATTTCTAGATGGAGATGTTACTTCATTCAGCTTTAATGGATAGAATTTCAACATCCCGAGACGATGGGGAGGGAAGAGTATTCCAAGCAGAAAGAGACACGAGCCTCTAAAGAAAGGTAATGGGTAGTTCATCAATGAGGCGCTTCACATGGTCTGGTTTGATATGGACAAACGGAGAATGAAAGACGGACAGCAGAAAATAGTTAAAAAATTTGGCCTTCAATCTACAACAGGGAGCCGATGAAGATTTTCTATCATCTTAAAGATGAGTAAGCCTACAGTAGCGATGTGTAAGATGGGCAGGTAGGAGAGTGACGCTAGAGGAAGGGCACCAATGAGAAAGGTATCACATTCCCACCGTCCAGGGGCTGATAATGACAACTTTGACTAGGCGAGGCAGTGGGTACGGAGAGTGGATGGATGCCAGAATTAATGTAGGGTAGAATCGACAGAACTTAGCAACTGACGGGAGCAAGAGAAAGAAAGAAATGGCATCAAATGTAGACATCGATGTTTCCAAGCTGGAAACTCATGAGAGTATTAACCAAAAGGGGTACCCAGTCTGGAAAGCAATTTGGGAGGGAGGAGGCCAAGATATATTTGGGAATATGCAGCGTTTATAACACCTACTGAACATCCCAGAAGAAATGACCAAGACTCCTGGAGGTAGCTAGATACTGACGACTTAGGCTGGAGCAGAGCGGGTCTGTGTTTTGGCAAAAACACGTACAAAACAGACTACCGAAATCTTACTACCGAAGCTTGCCTGGACAGGAGTGAAAGGTGTAGCGCCACTGAAGGAATCCACTCGTGTCTACTTTCCACCAATTGCCCTCGCCTCGCATTCCTCACAAAGACTCGCGGCGCAGGCGGCCGGAAGTAGCCTTTCCCTCCCCGCTCGGCACAGAAGTTCCAGAACTTCCGTCCCTACCCGTCACCAGCTCCCAGTCAAGGGGGCTCAATACACAGCGATGCGTCTCTTCCTGTACAGCCACCAGGCAGACTGAAAGCGCACGGTGGGCAGCACCACCTTTAGCCCGCCAACCCACCACCCTCGTAAGCTCCAGGCCAGCCACCAACGTTGGAAGAATTGGGAAAAATCCACAGGGTTCGCCGAAGATACCGCGAGACTTCACAGGCCCGCCTCGGCCTTAGCGCGCCGGAAGCGGAAGTCAGGCCGTGGTCGGAGTCCGCCCAAAGTGGACCTGTTACCTTGGAGAGCTGAAGCGGTCCGGAGGTCCTGTGACGGTGTTCTGGCTCGGAGGTAGGTTTCCGTGAGCGTCCGGCCGGCGGAGTCCGGCCCGAGCGGGATAGATACAGCCCTGGGCTTGGGGGTGGGGGTGTCGCTCATTCGGGGCCGCGGGGAGGAGGGAACCGGGCGGACAGAGCTGAGTGGCCGGCGAGGTGTCCTCTGGCTCTGCCGTTACGAGACTAGACCCTTTGGCGAGACCGGAAGCCGCTTACTCATCGCGGCCTCCAGTTTCCCTCACATCTGGGGCCGAGGTGCTTCAGGAGCGCATCGGTCAAAGCCTTGATAGACAGGCGCTGGTGTGCTGTGAGAGAGGACTGAAAAAAGCAGTGGTTCTCAGTCCGTGTCTTCGTCGGTTAGTTCTCTGGGTTCATCTCCCAGGGCAGCGAAAGCCCATTCTGGGTAGTCATTTACAAGGTTAGTGGCCTGCAGCGAAAGTTCTGTGTGGTTTTATTTAGGGTCAAAAAACTAGTAGTCTTCGAGTACATATCTGAAAGGCTGTACCCTGTGTTTTCCAACAGAAAAGAACATACTTTGTGAAGTTGTTATTCATGCTCGAACTAGCTCATTGGTTTTGAGTAGCATCTTCTAGCTCTTCGGTGGCACTTTAAGCTCCAATTCCCTCTTTGGAATTAACGTTGCAAGTCTTTAGAGTACTTTTAATCCTACCACTTCATTAACCTTTATGGTTCCTGTCCCCACGACACACACCTTTTGAGGTTTTCTTTCAAGGGAGTCAAGTTTTGTTTTGTTTTTCTTCCCATAGATCTAAACAATCTAAACATTAAACGGTACAGCTGCCTCAAATCCCTGGGGTAAGTAAAGCTTGGATCAGTTAAAATTCTATTTAAATTTCATTCTCACCAGTAATTATAAAGATGATACACATTTGTTTGTTTGTGGGAGGGGGATCCTGGAAGAACGTTAGAATAGCACATTTGCCTTGGCTTATGATTTTTACCGCCCCTCTGGTTAGGTATGGGTCGTCTTTCTGGTGATTTCTGTGATTCCTATAGGAATCAAGGCACGCCTTTAATTTGCTGAATTTATTTTAAACCATACCCTGGATTTGAGAATTTGACATCTGTTTGCCAATCCCAGACACATTGGTATTTAATAAGACATACTGTAAGAGAGCAGAGGCCTGGAAGGTAAGACATGTAGATACTGTTTCTTGCATCCAAATAATAATCTTTAATTTTGTTGGGACAAGGGTAGTATTATAAATATTTGCATATGTTTTGAGGGATTTGGAGGAAAGAAAAACTAATGAAAAAGCTGTCTTCCAGCATCATATCTCTTTGACAAAAACTTTTTATTATAAACTGAAGTAATACAGGAAGAAAAATAATTTTAGGACATCAGATAAGGGAGATTTGGTTTTAAAGTTTTAGCATGATGTCACATATGCCCCAAATCATAGAACAGATTTTAGTGGTCTTGAGGCAAAGAACAGAAAGATGGGGTTTAGGTGAGGAAAGGTAGGGGATGGGGCTACATCAAGGAAGGACTGGAAATTGGGGGCTACCTTCAAAATACTGCTAGGGCTGCCTTCCAGGTCTTGGGTGAAGATGAAAAGAAGTGAACTCTTTCTCCCCTGGTTTCTCAAGGATTAGGCTGCTGCAGCCTAAGTCAAATCTTTTCTCAGAGGTAGAGGGCTCTCTGAAAATTTGGGTGAAGAAATACTGCTTCAAAAGTGAATCCATAATTGCCTGGAAAACCCAGCTGATACAGATTTCAGTTTTCATAGCCATTAGATAATATTTATAGTAGTTTTTTTCATATGTCACAGAACCTGGAATAAGAATATATTGAATACCATTATAAAGTAGTTACCCTAGACCTTAGTAGCTGTGTGTTTAAAGGCCTTTTTATTTGCCTTTCTGTTTTCATGTCTTTACTGTATTTACAGTCTTTCTCTTTATTGGCTCTTTTATTTTCCTACAAACAACTTCAAGTGTTGTAGCCTGGGGAAAAAAGAGGTAACCTTCCAATAACCCCTTAGCTACTGCCCTTTGTGTTTTGTCTCTGTTTCCAGCCAAGCCTCTTGAAAGCTTGGTCTTTAATCAGTGTAGATTTCTACTTCCTTACCTTCCAGTTATTTCTTAATTAATTGTAGTCCTGTTTTAATCCCTGATACTCTAATCACCTCCTAATGGCTAAATCCAATTAATTTTCTCTTCTTGGTTCTTCCTATTACCTTACGATTCAACACTGATGATATATTGATGATGATATATAACAACAATCATGATATATCGTTCATCTTTGTATCCCAGGCTCCTAGTTAACACAATGCCTGTACTATAGTAATCAAGAAGTACTGAATTGAATCTAGTCTATCTTAGGTTTAAAAGTACACAAGGACTTTTATGAATACCCTGCCTAAAAGTATTTACTTCTTGTTTTTCCACTATCTGGTGAAGATAGTGTTACTTAAAAAAAAAATTCTAATAGAAACATATTAAAAACTGTACAGAATTTCAGAATGACTGACACTTCTGAAGCTATTCCAAATTTTGAAGAGATGTTTGCCAGTAGATTCACAGAAGATGACAAAGAGTACCAGGAATACCTGAAACGCCCTCCTGAGTCCCCTCCAATTGTTGAGGAATGGAATAGCAGAGCTGGTGGGAACCAAAGAAATAGAGGCAATCGGTATGTATTACTTCAGAACAGTAAATGCCAGTGGCTGATCTGGGAGAGGATAGCTTGAATCTGCTAGCCCACAAGGCCAGTGAGGGCAGGGATCAGTGTTTTTGTGCAGTGTGGTATACCGAGTGCCTAGTAACTGCTTGGCATACAGTAAGTGCCTGGTAAATACTTGCTTTTAATATTTTGTCAGCACCATATTTTTTTTCCCTTGCTATGCAATTGTGTGTGAGTGTGTTATAATGGTTTTTTAAAAAATATTCTTTCTCTGGACTAATATTTTATTTTCTCTGCAAATATGCTTTAAAAACCTAGTCTTTTACAAAACTTTTGCATTAAATTCCATAAAGAAGATATTGTTTTTGGTTTTACTTTAGAAAGAAGTTTATACAATGTAAATTACTTCTATTTGATACCTCAAAATAGATCAAAGGAATATTACCATACTGCTTTTGAACAATTGAATAGGTTTCAGAACCATCCTATTATTTGGGGTTTGGTGTTGTAGTCTACCTCTTCTCTGCAAAGTATTAAATATATCCAGTATAATACTGGATCTGAATCTCAGGAAAGTTTTGAATAACTAGTGCTATAACATTCTGTAGAGAAAAATGTTTTTTACTCTTTTGTATACTGAGTATTAGATTAAGAAATGAAATGCACCAGGATAGATTTGTCTTTTTTTTTTTTTTTTTAAGGGAAGTATAAAAATCTTTTTGTTTTGTTGTTGTAGGTTGCAAGATAACAGACAGTTTAGAGGTAGGGATAGCAGACGGGGGTGGCCAAGTGACAATCGATCCAATCAGTGGCATGGGCGATCCTGGGGTAACAATTACCCGCAGCACAGACAAGAACCTTACTACCCCCATCAATATGGACACTATGGTTACAACCAACGGCCTCCCTATGGCTACTACTGATAGAAATGTCAGCAGCTTTTAGTAAAACCATTTACTCTGTTAACATGATAAAAGTTTATGTTGTATTTTCTGTTGGTCATAGTTTTACATCTGATTGTAGAGAGTGGATTGATGTTTTGGAACTTGAGACTTTTTTAAAATTAGATCTTACTGGAGAGATACGATGGCTGCTGGAAATATCAATAAATACTCCCCTAAAAAGGTTGTGGATTATATTGCCTGACTTCTACCTCAGATTCTTCTTTATTTCATGACTTAATAGTGCTTTGAATGTTGTGAATTTTTTCCTTGTTTGACTTTCAGGAGTTCTTTGTTTTACACAGAAATAAAAATTTTACATAGAAAATGCTTGCTTTTACTTTGTAAGGTAAGGAAGTATCCCTGTACTCGGATGTGCTCATTCCTAATATTTTACAGAAGTAGTACAATCAGCTCCTAAATGCACAACTATGCTTACTTGTGATATATTGTACATAGTAGTTGAAAGGAAAACAGTTATAGTATATTTTGTTTGGCTTTTGTTATTATGTGACTGTGGTACTTTAATTACTCTGTAGGTATGAATCATCTTCACAATCGTTCTGGTCTCCTTTTAGAGGGATATCAAGAATAAACCTGTAAAATCAGGAAGGAATCATTCTCAGTTTCAATATCTTGATCTAGTGGTAGGTGGAATTAAGGCACACAGTAATTTTATACAAACTCTAAGGTTTCTTGCTAACTTAAACATACCAGGTCAGAATTCACGCATTATACAAAAGTTTAACCCTGCAATGTTCCCTTCCTTTTCAGTCATATGTAAATAATGCTGCATTTTGTATTTACTTTTATGGTATTTAATGTGGGTTGATTTTACAATGTTATGTTCACCTCCAAATGTGCACCTTTGCTGCTTCCCCTTTGTAAATCCAGTGATGCTGTAACTTCCTTTCAGAGTGATCATTGTATTTCACATCATTTTAATGGCCATTATAATGGTTTTACTCAAATAAAATACTTGTAAGTATTCTCTCTCAAATTTTGACAGGTAGCCCATTCACTAGAGATGAGCTTTTTGATTTTTTATTACTCTGTTCTCCTATCTGTTGAAAAAGGTTTATTTAGTGTAAGAATAATATTAAGTAAGAGTACAAGTTTCATCATAGGTCAAAGGTATTAAAAGGCAACTTCCTGAATCTGCCTTCTGCTGCCTTCTCTCTTAGCACTCCACTCTAGGCCGTTGAGGTTGACATCTCCAGGTACTACTTCTACATGCTCTGGATCCAACTCTCCCCTCCACCCCCACTTCCTGAAGAGCCATTCTTTCAGGTAACTATTTTATTAGAAAGGATTTGATAAACCAAGTACTCACACTCAGATGTAAATAAAATTTTAACAATAAGATAAGGGTTTTCTGTGTACCCTTGTAATTACATCAATAGGCAACAAGCCAGTGCTGGTACATTAAGATAGGCCTTGATACTACAGAATATTTAGCCCAGAGAGTTAACAATGGCTTGACTATACCCCAAGATCTTCTCTGAAAGCAGATGGGTTATTAAAAATATCTGTCAACTGATAAAGCACAGCCACTGACCAGCTGGGACAATAGCTGACCACAACTTTAGAGCAGGATCCTGGAGGCCCTCTGCTGTGCCAGCTGTTGACACTAATTAGATATCTGGATCCAAGGGACAGGGTTGGAGTGAGGGATGCCTCTCAGGAAGCTCAGAAGAAGAGTATTTTCTAACAGTATTTAAATATTTTAACACTGTAACAGTAGGGTACATATGGTCTGAGTATCAACTCTTCTTGAAAATATGAGAAGAGTCCTCCTTTTAACATGAGTTATTTCTGCATTCTGCATGAGTAATCTGTGTGGTGGTGGTTTTTCTTTTTTCTAAGCAACAGTCATTATCAGACTGCTCCCTGTGTGCTTAAAACCAGGAAGAAATAAAGGCATGGTTTCTGCTTCATGTGGGAGAGACAGAAAAGAACATCAAACCAACTTAAGGATCATTTAAAAGTGGAGAAGAAAGAATTAGAACTGTCAAATGGAATTAATCTCAAATAGGTAGTCTGTTGTAATAGCATATAGATTGAGCATAAGGAATCCTGGCTCCAAGATATCTGACCTTGAGAAAATCACTTAAACTTTGAGCTTATTTGCTCACCTGCAAAAATGGGGACAACACCTTCCCTTGTCACTCTCACAGGGTTATCATAAAAATAAGTGACCAAACATATGAGAGCTTGAGAACAGAAACTAAAGCTCGTGACCATTAAAACCCCAGTGGTACATAATTGGTGCTGCATAAACATTTGTTTAATCAATGGCAGGGAAGGATTTGATAAATTGTAAAGCATAGTGTTGATATAATAAAGTATGTAGAATAACTGATAGAAAATGAGGTAGGCAGCTTGAGAATTAAAGATTTGTGATTGTTTCCTTATGTGAATATTATATGAATTAGCAAAAGAATAAGACATTATATCCTTCAGAAAATAACAAACACTTCAAATATGGAAGAAAGGGGGAATTCCCTGCCGTTCCAAGTGATTAGGACTCGGCACTTTCACTGCTATGGCCTGGGTTCAACCCCTGACTGGGAGGCTAAGATCCTGTGGTGTGGCCAAAAAAAAAAAAGAAAAAAACAAATATGGAAGAAAGAAAGTTTATATAAAAGTTGAGCCAAAATTACTGGCATTTGCTGTTTGGAAATTGGCACTGACTTGAGAATGTTGAATGTTCATTATGGAACACATCAAATTAATATCCATTTGAGACAGATGCTAGAGACTTAGATAGAGAACTGTTGTTTTTTTTTCCTTGAGTGCTAGAAGGATTTGAGGTTATCCAGAGTGTAGTAACCTTGTGTCACTGCTCTAAGAATAGTTTTTAGGTTCTTGAAACCATATAGGAAAAAGACAGCCAGTAAGATCTCCAGCATGGTTTTGGTTTCCAAAGCTGCATTCCTTATAACATAATGCTCAACAGACAAGGATGTAATTTTCCCTTTGTATTTTATTCTCCTAAAGGAAAATATAGAACTTTATGACAGTATTAAGGGTAATGAAATGTCAGTTTTAAGTTCAGAATACCAAAAAGGAAAGAAATGATCTTCTACCCTGAAGATTACTGATATCACTGATTTTGAACTCTAATGAAAGCACTACACTTTGTTTCAGTTTTTAAAAATTTTTTTATACAGCAGGTTCTCATTAGTTATCTATTTTATACATATTAGTGTATATATGTCGATCCCAATCTCCCCAATTCATTCCTCCCCCGCCCCGCCCCGCTTTCCCCTCTTGGTGTCCATACGTTTGTTCTCTACATCTGTGTCTCTATTTCTGCCTTGCAAACCGGTTCATCTGTACCATTTTTCTAGATTCCTGTTTCACAGTTTTTTAACACCTTAAAAATTTTCCTAGACTTTGTATTCTGTTTGATTCACTCAACCTAAACAGATTTGGCTGTGTATGGAAATCTATGCTCTGGGCCTTTGACTTCTTTTGATTAGCACTATTGTTTATAGTGAAAGGGAATTTTTATTCTTTTTTTTTAAAGGCTATAATTCTTTTTTAAATTTATTTATTTTTTTTGGCTGCGTTGGGTCTTTGTTCCTGTGCACGGGCTTTCCCTGGTTGTGGTGAGCGGAGGCTACTCTTCCTTGTGATGCGCGGGCTTCTCGTTGCAGTGGCTTATCTTGTTGCAGAGCACGGACTCTAGGCGCGCGGGCTTCAGTAGTTGTGGTGTGCAGGCTCAGTATTTGTGGCTTGCAGTTTCTAGAGCGCAGGGTCTGTAGTTGTGGCGCACGGGCTTAGTTGCTCTGCGGCACGTGGGATCTTCCCGGACCAGGGCTCGAACCCGTGTCCCCTGCACTGGCAGGCGGATTCCTAACCACTGCGCCACCAGGGAAGCCTGGGAATTTTTATTCTTGTTAAGAAATGTAGGAAATAAATATTCCCAGCTTGAGGTGGCTTGTTGGATAACTTCAGTTAGCTGGAAATGTTACTTGTGAAAGCGTTTACTCTGGTAATGTTAGACAAATTGAGGTATTATATATAAACTATTCACTGAAAAGCTTGTTTGGGCTTTGTCTTTCAATGTCTTGTGTTTTAACCAAAGAAGCATATTTGATATATATATATAAATGGGAACTTTGAAATACATTAGGCTTTGGCTAATTCTGTGTGAAAAACCTAATTATATAGGTTACTCAGAGAATGTTTCCTCTATTTATAAGCTTAGGTATGCGTTTAAAATTCTCCAGTTTTTAATTTAGAATGAATTAAGACCAACAGCAGTACATATTCTTGACATTTGTAGAAATTAATGATGTTAATTTTTAGATTAATACTTAAGAATTCAGATATATTCAGATGTGACATTCTATTCTATCTAAATGGATATTTTCCTGGGTCCTGCTACATCAGATTATTTTGGAGCCAAATCAACAACTAGATTCAAGTAGTAGATTATACTATTGGACTCTAAGGTAGCCTTGAGAGCAAATATTTCCTCCTTTCTAGAGGTCTGACTGACCTCTACTGGGACCAGCTTTTGGGAGAAATAGGGATGGGAGCAGAGATCCCATGACCTGTGGAGATGGGGGGAGAGAGGGCCAGGCCGGCTCCATGGGTCTCAGTCAGTAGGGCTGCTGTATTAGGATATGCCAGGGCTTAAGAGGAAGTGACTGAAGCTGGTGTGACACAGCTGAGGCCCGCATGTGCCAGAGATACGTTTGTATCTGAGTAGCTTGTTATCAGTGCTGTCAGACTGGAAAACGGGATGAGCTGTGGATAATACCCCTCGGATTTTAAGATTTACAGGATGGCATGGGAGGAGGTTAACGAGGACAAGTCATCCTCATCAAAATTGCTAATATGTGATTTGACTGCCCCCTTGAAGGATTAAGTGAAAGCATTTGCATAAAGTACACATCACTGGGCTGGGCACATACTCAGTGCCCATTCAGTGTCAGGTTTGTGCCTCCCTAAGGAGAGTGGGGTACCTCTGGGCTGACTTGGGTGCAAAAAGTGCAGCTCAGATCTTTCACCAGTCTCCATGTGCTGATGGGCTAATTCAGTTGTTTTCATTCCTGTCCCTGAGGGATACAGAGAGCCCCACGTATTAATTACCGGTTAGATTTTCTCCGGGTTTCAGTGACTTCTCCTGAGACAGCTTCAGGGGACGATGTGATGATGATCTCATGGTTTTTTTCCACGGCCAGTGCCTTCAACTCCCTAAAGGATCACCAGCCTCTTTGTCTGAATCAGGTAAATAAAGCTGCTGTAATTGCTAAAGGCCAGAGCTTTCTCTTGTGTGTGTGTGTGTGTGTGTGTGTGTGTGTGTTTCTCATTTTAAAGTTTCCTTCACTATATGTTTTGTGTGTATACAAAATAATACTGTAAAAAGTAAAACTAGACAAATATGAATAATCTTCATCCAACCAGTGACTTTGGCTTGTTGTGAATGCTTCTGTCTCTTTCACCATGCCCACACAAATATATATATAAATTTGGTATATGCACGTTTTTCCTTTCCTACTAAAGTGAGGTTATATATATAAACCCACACACATATGTGTATATTATTCTTTGTTCACACAACATATTATAATAGGCATCACTCCAGGTCACTAGCTATAGATTAAAAATTAATGACTTAATTTTAATAACATGATATTGTATAGCATGGATATACCATTGATTATATGATCATTCTCCTATAGGTAGACACTTAGGTTGTTTCCTTTTTTGCCCGTACTTAACAATGCCATATTGCTTTTGTCCATATATCTTTTGAATGCTTTTATTTTATGTCTTCTGTGGGGTAGTCTCAAAAGTAGAATTGTTGGGTTAAAAAAACCTGTATTATTTCATTTTAATAAATGCTGCCACATTTTCTAAAGCATTGTAGCAATTTACATTCCCATCAGCAACATACGAGTATTCATGTATGTGTCTCCTCTCTCCCTATGACTTCAACGTTTTGTCTAGATGGCCACAGGCTTTTTTACTTTAGGAGAACTTTACTAGGTTGTGTTTCATTGTTGATGATCACTGTCAGTATTTCACCTAGGACACTGCACCTTTCATTATGTAAGTTTATCTTCTATTTCTCCAATGTTTTCTTTCTTTTTTGGGGGGGGGCCGCAATGCGCTGCATGTGGAACTTCCCTGACCAGGGATCGGACCCATGCCCCCTGCAGTGGAAGTGTGGCATCTTAACCACTGGACCACCGGGGAAGTCCTCCAATACTTTCTCGATTATATCTTTAAGTCTTTGTTCTTCTGTTCCATTTCTTTGGTTCTCTTCTCCAGTTATGCATGTGTTGGTTTTCCTTTGTCTGACTTCTGTATCTGTCATTTTCCTGTCTTTGCTCACCTTTCTCTAGCCTGCTCTCTAAACTCCATGTCATATATTCAGCCTCTTCTCTGTTGTGTTGTTCCCAGCAGGGCTTTTATTTCTATGATGCTTTTATTTTTTTACTTTAAAATTTGATTAGCCACATTTCAAGTGCTCAGGAGCCACATGTGGCTAGCAGCAAGTGTACTGGCAGCACAGTTCTAGAAGCAGACTAAAGGCTTGGAGTTCTGTTGACTTACTCCCTTATTCTCCACAGCGCTCCAATCCCCCAGGTATCTCTGGGGAAACCTAAGACTCTGAAACAATTCCAGAGACACTGTGATAGTAAAACCACATCATGGATGAGATGAGTTGCACGTAGAAATGCCCACAGACTCTGTACCTTGTGTTGCAAAGTTTGGGGATTCACCCCTGCCAAACTCTAATAAGGGGACTAGATGGACCCTGTGGCACACAGCTAGAATAGGATTATAAAATGCTGAAAACTTGTATCAGTTGAATTATAAGGATTATCTGAAAAAAGCCTATGTGAGCAGAGTTAGGTGGTCTTCTGGAGCCTGGAAAAAGGGAGCTCCTGTGCCATGAAGCATCAATATTCAGTGTTGTCCCAGGAGAGGGGCTGGTAAGATAAATATGTCTATCCCTGCAGCAGAAATGGGAGCTCTAGACAGTCATAGCTCCCTGCTTCTGGCCCCTAAGTTCCCTGGCTCTGACCCCAAGCTCTCCAAGCTTCAAATGATGACTGGCTTCTGGACGAGATTTCCCAAAGGGACACAAGGTGCTGAGGATCCCACTACACAGTCTATTTGGCAGGTACGTTCTTCACTCAATAAATTGGCATCCTTTTAGAAATTAATTCCTTGTTAATTTTCCAGCCCAATTCCATTTTCAAAAACACTGACTAAATGGGATTTCTGAAATTTGCAAAATTAAGGCACTCAGGACCTCGCTGGCTCCACCAAAGTACTGACCCGAGACTCCTGAGTACTCAGCCGGCCCTGGTTAATGCCACACTCTGGCCTATGCTAAACTCAAGGTATGAGGGGACTAAGTCTAAGGAATGTCTCTGAGAAGACTAGACAAGAAGGATAAGAGATTGTGACATTGGTAGTCAGGCACTACAGAAGGGATTTCCTAATAGTACTGCTCACTTCAAAAGGAATTAACAGTGCGTTCCTGTGTGCTTTTCTGCTACTGCATTATGGTGCCACCTCTTGGATACAAATTGAAAATCTAGCTTTAAAAATTTTTAGTCTCCAGTCACACGCATTAAAAAAATCTGAAGTGGGAGGCCATGATGGGTTCTAAAATTTATATTCTGCTTTAGAGTTAAGGAACTACTTAACCAAATCCCTAGAATCTGTAAGAGGGGGGATGCTGGTAGCCTGCAGCCCAGAAAAGAAGTGCCTCAAGTGAGTTTTTAGCTGTTTGGAATTTTAAACAGTGCAAAGGTGCCACCTACATGCTCTGGTTCTCTCTCCATACCTAGCTGTCAGACAAGTGAGGAATGGCTCACAGGAATCAGGATTTCAAGTTCCCTGTTTCTGCCTCCAATTGTCAACATATAGTGTAGGCAAAGCAGTGTCTGGCAAGTAGCAGGCACCCAAGTTATTAAATTATTCTTAAATCATGTTTGCAGGAGTAATTATGTATTAAGGTGGGGAATGATAGATTACAGATGCAGTGCTAGAACATCACCACGACACTAGTCATCAGAGTTGGAAAAGTATCATTCAAACCTTGTTCATGGGCTGCCTGAAAGGCTGGACCCTCAGGACGGCACAGGATGAGAAAGGTCACTTCGTAGACCGTGTAAGTATTCACTTAAAGTTAACAGGGGTAGGCAGGGCTATAGTCATGTTATTAGACAACTGTTATAGGGGTTGGGGATTTTGTGTCCTTGTCCTAGGTCACTGGGCCTGTCTTAATATCCTTGGGGGAAGAATAGGGCCCAGCTGAAGAAAGCTGCATTAACTAAACTTCCACAGCAGCTCAAGGTGCCCAGGCCTTAGCTGTGATTGTTATTAATGGGGAACAGCCCTGTGTGGGTCAAGAGAGCATCAGACTGCTAAAGACAACCTCACTTGCTAAGGAAGAAAGGGAAACATGTCCTCAGACACAGCTGCTGAACTAGTTCCTACCTCTGCCAACAGTTTTTTGGTGACAAAGTAAGGATGTTCTTTTTAAAAAGATACTGTGTGTTTCTCAAAAGAAGTGAGTAGGCAAAAAAGTCCCTGTTAAAATAATGGCCATTTTAAATGAAGTAAATAGATGATTGTGATGGGTATTTGTTGACTCCTATCCAGCATCCATTTCTCTTTCTCTAACTTTTCCCAATTTGTATTCAAGTATCTACCTCTCTCTGCTCACTCCTTTGCTTCCAAGTAGGCTGAGCCCATCCCCAGCTCTAGGATGGGGCTTGATTAGTCTAAAACAATTAGAGTAACTCTTCTCTTTTCTCTAGTCACTGGTTTAGGTAACCTGTGTTATAACATGGCATTCCCTGACAGTAGGGGCTGGTTTAGAAACTGTGTGTGACCTAATCTGGGCTGAGATACAAGAAGGAGCTGATTGACAGCTTTTGGAAAAGAAATACCACAGCTCTTCTTAGAGGCCTTTTTTTCTACTGGAGGGGGTGACAGGTGGACAAGAAGCCTGGAACTGCTGCCTTTTTGCCTCCATGGGGGAAACAGGCCTGAGGATGAAGCTGGCACTGCTGAAGTAAGTCAGGGGAAGGAAAGAAAGTGGGTCCTTTATGACATCACTGAGCTGCTGAGTCAATAACCTCTAAGTAAACCCTGCCTCTGGACTTTCCAGGTATGTGAGCTAATAAATCCCTTTATTGTTTGAGCCAGATGAGTTAGGTTTCTGTTACTTATCAAGGAAAGCATCCTAACAAACGATTCATGTATAAAGCACAAGTAAAATGCCTGTAGAGCACACACCAGAACAATGCTGGAAAAAAGAGAAAAGGTTCTGAAGCCAAGACCACGTAAAACAGAAGCACATTTGCAGGCAATGTGGCATAATGGCTTAGAAGAGAAGGCAGATGGGCATAACCCATGCTCTGCCCTTCATGTTTACTCTGATCTTGGATGAGCCACCTAACTTTGGTTGTCCTTGGTTCCTCTCAACAGAGTAAGCTGAACTAGATGAGTGGCTCCAGTTCTTTTACCATCCGTAATTTTTATTATTGGTCCTTTTTGTGGATTTTATATTTTTAAAGATTTTTGTCTGTCAATAGATTTTTCTCATGTACTTAGACAAAGTACACAACTGCAGATCGGCTCTTCTATCAGCAAAGGTAATCAGGTTAACTTATTCACCTTAACAAATTACTATAATTTGATTGAACATTTAAAAACAAGATATTTATTATTAGCTTTTGAAGTTCAATATAGATATGACTTCTGATAGGTTTTTACAGATACTGAAAATAGCTTCCAGATCTTCTATTTTCTTTTGAGGATCTTAGGAGATTCATAAGAACTACCAGATTTGATGACTGCAGTTACCATCCAAGGAGGAAGAAAATTCAGTGACTTCTCAAAAATGAAAATTAACATTAAATTACAAAAGTCTTTTTTTTTTTTTTTGGCTGCGTCTTGCATGGCTTGCGGAATCTTTAGTTCCCCAACCAGGGATTGAACCGGGGCCCTGGCAGTGAAAGCACCGAGTCTATTCTTATTTACTTTCTAACAAAATGGTCAAGAGAATTTTTAAAAAACACAGAAAAAAATTTTGCATTTTACATAATACATAATCATTTTAAAATACAAAGTGACACTATGAAGCAGTGACAGGTCTTCCTCTGTCACTTGTAAACCGGATTAGAAGGCCATCCCCAGAATTCCAGTAGTGCTGTGGAAATAATTTACAATTGGGATAAACTGCATTCAACTGGGAGCCAAGGGATCTAGGTTCTAGTTGCCATCTTGCACCATGTGATCCTGAATACACTCAAATTCTGGACGTCAGAAGCCCCATGACAAAATGAAAGGGGCTGAATCAGGTCATCTTAAATATCCTTTCCAGCTGTTATTTTGTAACACCATGAAATCAGAGTAACATGTCCCAAGCTGTTTGGGATCAGGGATTTTAGAACCTAAATTCAACATAACAGTACTTTTAACCTTCATACTTTTTTTGTGTGTCCTGTTCTTATTAAATATATGTGTATTTCCACATTCTGTGTCTTTAAATATATTTTCCTTTTTAACAGTCTTTTCAGCATTAGCAATAAAAGTTTCTCAAGGGTGTACTTTTCATTTCTTGCTTTTATTTCTTTTCAACTTGCTTTTTCAGTTTCTCCAAGATCTCTTCTGGAGTTGTGGAGGCCAAAAGCTTTACCACTTTTTCACGAGATTTACCACCCTGGACCAAAAGGAAAAAACAGTGTCAGGATAACACACTAAACTTTCTAATGCTATTAAGAGGCAGCAGACCTCAGTTGCTGAGGGGTTGTTACAAGTGGGCTGGTGTTTTCCTGACAGCTTAGTGCCCACTTTCTCCTAGCCATTTCTGGTCTAACCAAAGGCTGTCTCTTCGATTCCACCTTACTACAATATTTTTACAACTCTCCAGAGTTTTTAACCTTCATACATCAATTTCTGTAATAATAAAAGCTAGGCATTAAATTTTCAAAATGAATATGGAATCCAGATGTACAATATTCTGGTTTCAAGTAATACTTTTGTTTAAATTATTTTTTAAATTACCAAAACAAATATTGCAATTTTATATAAACTTTGTATAAAAATATTCCAAATGTAAAACAAATTGGTATTCTCTATACCGTTACACATTTCTGAAAATTCCGAACAAAAAGCAACCACGTATCCAAGTGCTATGATTCCACAACTGCTTAAGACAACTATAAAAAGGTAAACACCCTTTAAAGAAGGTAAATTTTGAGCAGGTATTTATCTAAATGGGTAGAAGCTGCACAGGTGGAAGAGTGGGGAGTCCCTTTCAGGCAAATGCCAGAGCACGTGCGCTGGAGAAAATCCGAAATGACCTGCCACAGGGGCGACGGTGAGGGAATGGCCTGATCAGATGGACGTTTAGGTACAGCCTACTAACCAATGACTCTGAGTGCCCGCTGGATCCTGGGTAGGAGCTACAGAGTATAGCACTGGAAAACAAGTAGAGCTTTAAGAAGTATAAACACGGGTGGTTCTTACTCCTACAGATTCTATTTCAGTTAAGTCTGGGGTGATGCCCAGGAACCTGTGTTCTAGAAATCATTTCCAGGTGATTTTGATATCCACTCCTAGTGCAAACCCACGGTATTAATGACTTCACATGAGTCCTCTCTCTTTCTAATAAGCTTCTAGTGAGTAAGGATAACACGGGGGACCAGGTATGCTTGATGAACTCACTAATGGAGATGACAAGAGGAACCATTTTAGATTTTTCTAGTATGGTGATGACTTGAGGGAAGAGACAAGCAAGATTAATCTGACAGAGCAGGTACAGGAATGAACTTAGGAGAAAATGCTGGAAATGATGGCAATTAAGGAATACAAGTATAGCGTGTGCACAGTCTGAAGGAGTGAGGCATTAGGAGTGAAGATTAGGAAGAATTCACAGATTTTAGTGATTAAATGATTATGAGCATTAAAAACAACTGGTTTTTCAATTATTTGGAAAAGAAAAAAATTGGTATTTTAAAAGTAATGACTGATGTACTCAGAGATGTTGAGAGAGAGAGAGACCTACCTTATCCAAAACCACATCACTCTTCCTGAGTTCTAAGACTTTGGAAAGATACCAACAAAGCTCAGCGTTCGCCTCTCCTTCTGTCGGAGGTGCTGCAATAGCTACACTCACAGCCTCGGCCGTCAAGTCTGGAATGAAAACAGTGTGGACCTGATCCTCATGGAGTTCTTTTTCTTCACGCAGTGAGCATATTTTGTAAAAGTGTTTGCATTTGTCTGGCATGTTGTAGGTTTTCAATTAATAACTGCTGAATGAAGAATGATTAATCACAGTTAAGGGAACATAAACATAAATATGCCTCTACCATTACAGAAATCCAGAGAAGAAAGCTGATTTTTACCCCACCCCACCCCACCCTGCTGACCAAAATGGGCCTACAGAGTCCTGGGCAATAACCTGGATTTAGGAGCTGGAAACTGCACTTGGTCTAACAGGAAGAGCCCAGGCAGGGAGTCAGCGGAGCTGGGCTTTAGCCCCGCAATGTCACCGAGGAAGTGGATTAACCAGGCAGCTCACGAAACTGTAGAGGGTTGTTTGGGGTCTCCTCATCAGGAAAATGGGAGCACTGGATTAGATTCACCTCTTATGTGAAATGTCTCTTTGATATTTTTAAAATGTAGTATTTAGGGCTTCCCTGGTGGTGCAGTGGTTGAGAGTCCGCCTGCCGATGCAGGGGACACGGGTTCGTGCCCCGGTCTGGGAGGATCCCACATGCCACGGAGCGGCTGGGCCTGTGAGCCATGGCCGCTGAGCCTGCACGTCCGGAGCCTGTGCTCCGCAACGGGAGCGGCCACAACAGGGAGAGGCCCGCGTACCGCAAAAAAAAAAAAAAAAAAAAAAAAAGTAGTATTTAGTTAGCATCTACACAGCGCTTACATACACTAATTTTAAGGACATACAAACATGTTTTAAGGGCTTTACAAATATTAACTTGTTTATTCCTATAATTTTATGAAGATATTAATACCTTTATTATCTCCATTTTACAAACGAGGAAATTGGAACCAAGAAGTAATGTGTCCAAGGTCACATGGCTAGAAAGTGGCATTGTGATTCACAAATAAATTTGAATTCATGCTTTGAAATCCAGGGACAATGAACACTGCTTTTTGAAGAGTGGTCCAGACTCCCTCATCAATACAGCCTTTATAAAGAGCAACGTGTCTGCAATCCTCCACTGTTATTTCTGAGAGAGAAGTATACACTCAAAGCAGTTTGCAAATGAGCTTGAGCTGGTCCTGCATCTGGGGTTACTTGGGCATTTCCACATGCTTAACATCTTGCCTGTGTAAACACGGCTACAGAATCCACAGGAATGAGATGGTAGAACAACCTTCCTCCTAGCCTGTCACTGATTCTATGATGCACAGTTTTTCACATTTTAATATCTTTGAAATCTTGATGTATCTTATAATAAATGGAAAAGAAAGTGTTTAGTTGATGTGGATTTTGTCTTACTGGTACATAAAGTACTTCTGCACCTTATAGATAGATGATGGCCAGTTAGATCTGATGAAACATGGTATTCCAACAGCAGTGTCCACAGTGACTACTTAGAAAATGCTGGCCAAGGAGGGTACAGCCAACAAATAGCCAAGCTAACATGGCCATCAACACAAACCGGGCCTAGCACCCCAATTTTGAGGTCTTGTTTTAAAAATTGGAATACAGTGCTTTAGCTTTAGTGGGTGAAAAAGACCGTTAAGATAACTCAGATCAAACTTTTTTCCCAGTCAGAAGCCTCCCCACCCCACCCAATCTCTCCTGAAGCCCCAGCATTTAAAACAAATGTAAACAGCTACTCAGGAGTCCTGTCTGCCAACCTCCCCTTTGCCCACCGCAGATTCTTGAGGCACCTTTTGGACTCCAGGGAATAGCTTAAAAGCTTCTAACTATCTCATCTGACAGATGAAAGAACTGGGCCCAGGAATATCTTGTAGAGTTTTGATTTGAAATAAGCTCACACAGGTGTTGATGATCAGGTTCACAGATCTGAGGTTTTCTCTCCCTCCTTGGACCAATGGTCATTTAAAAAATCAACCAAAACATCTTTCTCTGGCCAATGTTTCCACTTTTGGAATAGGACAAACTAAGAATCATCTAGGCTACACGTTTCTATCTATGTTCTTTCTAAAATACCTTTTTAAATTTTGAGGTATAATTGACACATAACAGGTGTACAACATAACGATTCGCAGTTTGTATTTTGAATTGATCACCACAGTAAATCCTGGTTCATAAAATACCATATTAAAAAGGACAATACACAGTGGTTTTTTCATCTAACTTGGTATGCTTTAAATACGGTATATTTGGATTTAAACACTAGATTACACCTTTACATTAGAATCCAGAATTTAAAAATGGAGAAACCTCTAACTGCAGGTGTGAAAAATATACTTGATCACACAGGATGAACTTCCAGCAAGCCAAGGCAAAGGGAGGATGGAGAGGAGACAAGTGGTTCATACAAGATTCCCTCCCCAGTGGCCAGGTATACCTGTCACAGCATTTTGTTTGGAACCAGGTTTGGCATGGATGGCTATGGTGACACAACCTTTGGGATCAACTGCCACAGGACCTGAGGGAGGAACTGGTCTCTCTGCTTCCTTGCTCTGGCTTTTACCCTAAAACGACAACAACAATCACACTACAACTTTACGGTTACAAAATACTTTCCCACACATTTGATCTTTCCATGATTCCTTTTCACCCTTAACCAAGACAAACTAGGCTAATGGGTCACGTCCAGGGAGTTCTGGCCACCCAGAATGGTCTTCCAGCAGCCTTCATGGCTCAAATCAATTCTTTCACGACGCCTTCCCATCAACCCCACAAAGTGCTTTTTTTCCTGCCTTGGAAGACCTGACTTAGAACTGGTTCCTGCTGTCGGCTTTGTATTTCCCATTCCTCAGGGAGCACCGATTATTCATTATTCATCTTTGTATCTCAAGCAGCACAAGTTAACAAACGTTTGTGAACAACCATGGCTGGACGGTGTATATCCATGTGTTCTGGGGGGAAGGGGAGGAGGAAGGAACAACAGTGGTATTTAAAGGACTACTGTGTGCCAGAAGCTGTACTCGGAACTTTCCACTGAACAAACATGGACTGCGCACCAAGGCAGTATGTAGGCAAACGAGATGTAAAGATGAGTAAGGACACATGGAGCTCAAGGAGCTAGGACTGCAGCGAGAGAGAAAGAACAAATAATCACTCTAATACACCGTGCTAGGAGCGCCGACCACACACGCACAGGGCATCACGGCGCAGAGAAAGGGAAGGCAGTCCCGCCTTGGGACACTGGGGAAGCTCCCGGCAGGAGACAGTCTTAGAGCCGGGTCTTAGGAACCGATTGGAGTCAGCCCTGCAGAGACGGTGGAAGGGAAGTGTGGGAGTGGTGCATTCTTGATGGAGGGGTGCGAAGACCAGCCAAGGGAAGGAAACAGAACGCTAACTAGAGCCTCCCAGGGAAGCACAGGCCGCACGGCGCTGCCGGAACACGAAGCGCGAGCCTGGAAGTGTGGGAGCGAGGCCGGCGGGGTCGGCAGCCACAGCTCAGGAACAGCCTCGCGCGCCGCCGGCCCGGGCCCTCCGACTTCCCCGGTGGGCGGCAGCGCAGCCGAGAAAGACGGGGAGCGGGAGGCCCGAAACTCAGAGACAACAAGCAGTTGGCGGAGCTTCTACCCACCCACGGGTCCCGCTTCTCTCCCGCGCTCCTCAACCAGCATTCCTGCGGCCCACCCTCCCACTGCCAAGGGACTTGCCACTGGCCTTGTTCACTGCACCAGCTTTCTTAGGCATCTCGGTGCCCACAGGGAGCCGGGCAGCAGCGCGAGCACCAGGTCCCGTCCCCAGCTGCCTCACCCCGCAGCCGAGCCGCAGCATCCACGCCAAGGAGGCGGCAGGAAAGGCGGCCCGACGCCGGAAGAGCCCTCTGCACCTGCGCACGCAGCGGGCGGGAGCGGCTTCTCTGGCCTGCGCCTCTGCTGTGGCACGAGGGCGACACCTTCCGGCTGGCGGGAGCAAGACCCCTCGTTCTTCCCGGACCTACGCGGGACCCTCGCCACCTAGAAAAGCGGCTCAGGAGACCGAGAGATGGGGAGCTGGGCTCTGGTCGAGTCGTGACCACCCCCCAACCCCCTCTGGTCTTGTTTCCTCATGGGAAGAAAGGATTGGAGTGAACGGCAAAGAGCGCACAGGGCCAGGTGTCTTCTCGCTGCTGCAGCCAACCAGCAGGTGCAGAGCCCCACGCTGCTTCCTATGGCCCTTAAGTGGATGTAGAGTATCCTGCTGCTTTAGCCTTTGGGTACCTTCCGTGTACTGATGGAGCATCTACCTTGTGCCAGGCGCTGAGGATGCCACAATGTAAAAGGAGAGGAAATATATTCTGATGTGCGAAGTGGCAAAAGATGAAACTGAAGAAGGCGGAGGCAAGATCAGAGTCATTGAAGGGTTTGAGGCAAAGGATTGGTAGAGTCACATTTGTTGTGATTAGAAAGATCACTGGCTGCAATGTGGCCAATAGAGGAATAGAGGTAGGGAGACCTCCCTCTTAAATGGAAGATGGTAGCCTGAACCAGAGTAGTAGCAGTGGGAATGGAGAACTGACAGCTGATCATTTCAAGCATACTCAAGAACTAGAATGATCGGAGCTTGGGGAATGACTGGATGTGGGAATGAGAGTGAAGAGTCAGGGAAGATGCCCAGGTTTGGGGCCCGAGGAGCAGGTTTGGGAGTCTGAGGTGAGTTGTTCAGTCCGGGACATAATGAGTTTGAGATAGCTGTGGGACACTAAGTAGAAATATTAAGGGGGTAACTGAATGTCTGTAACTGAAGCTTGAGAGATCTGGACTGATGATGGATTCTGGAGCCCTCTGAAAATAGATGGTAATTGAAGCCATGCACGTGGATGAGATAAAGATTCAGAGAGTGTGCAGAGCATGAGGGCCCAGGACAGAACCCTAAGAAAATGTAAAGAGAAGGCACCAAATGACATTGGCCAGATGTAGGAGTACGTAGCAGCCAAGAAAGGGTACTTCAAGAGGGAGTAGGCAACAGGGAGTAGTGCCACAGAGAAGGCATGTAAAACAGGAATGAGCGGTGTTAGTGACCTAGGTGCTAGCAGTTTCAGTGCAGAAGAGGAAAGAGATAGTATGTGTAGAAAATAATTCGATTTCACTGTGAAGGAGTAACTGGTATTGGAGGAGCACATGACGTTAAGATGTTTTTTTCTTTTTTAAACTGGAATAAGAATTAACCACATTTGAATATTCATAGGAATAAGCCAAGAAAGGAGACCTTACAACAGAGGGAGGAGGTGGGGTTCTGAGCACAGGTGGAGACTGACCTGTCTACAAGAAGCCTTACTCAGACACCCCTTCCTTCACAAGAGAAGGAAAAGTTTAGGTGCACATGTAGCTGTGTGTATAGGTTTGATGCGAAGAGCTGGAGTTCTTTCATTAGCTGAAGGAGAGGAGGTTGTTGAAGGTGTGAGAAGAGTGGAACAGATTTAAATACTCTGGAGAATGTCAAAGAGCTAACTGTTGAAACTCACTCTGCAACACTGATGGTCTAGCTGAACTTGGAGACCATGAAATCATGACCCCAGTCTTGTACAGTTATATCGTTTTGAAATGCCTGGACCCAGCAGCCAGGAAGTTGAAGATAAGGCAGACAACTGGTTTCATTCAGGTGGGTATGAGAGGGTTGAGGGTTACTGAAATGGTTAATGGTGATCAAAGATCAAAAGTGGAGAAGCAAAAAACCCAAAAGGTTGAAGGTGGAGTCTACTAGAGTAGGGAAGGAAGAGGGTTGACAGAAAGGACGGAGAGGTCAAGGGAATGGCAGTCTTGAGGTGCAAGGACACATGTATGGGAGTGTGTGTGAGAGCTTAAGAGGCATCGAAGGTTGTGGTCAGAGTGTGTAATGTCTGAACTTACCATTTCAGAGGTAGTGCGAGTCCATATGACAAGTTACATGGTGTGGTCATGAGCAGGAGTGATTGACATGAAATGGTGAAGGTTACTGGAGGTTAGGAAGAAAATGGAAAGCTAGGTTTGGCTGGGTTGTCCACCCACTTGGATACTGAGGCCACTCAGGGTGAAGGCTTTGGTAGAAGAAAGTGAACCAGGTGTTAAACCAAAGCCATATTTTCTTTGTTTGAAATCAGTTAAGAATTGGGGCACAAAAGCTGAGTCAGCATTATATAGAATTAGTTTGGGGTGAAGTCATGACAGCCTCAGTTAAAGCTTTGACAGTTTAGATGGAAATAAAGGGGCCACTTGCAATCGTGGATTATTACGTTATCTGGCAGTTGACTAGATGAGCGAAGGCAGAGAGAGGGAAGAGGTGCCCTCCAAGGACCATTCAGGCTTTCCCAAAGGTCACTCAGGAGTGGGGGGTGGAGAAGGGGGAGGGGAAAAGCCATCAGCTCCATTTGCCACCCAAACTGTACATCTGTTGTTGCTTCTGCCCCGAATCTTTGCCTCTGGAAAGACTTGGAAAAAATATTGCCCAATGGTTAAAAAAAAAAAAAAAAATAGGGGCTATGATCCAAATGGCAGAAAACCCATTATAAATGTTTATACTGGTTCCTATTTTCTTTTACATTTCTTTCAGGTTTTAGTACAGTTCAATTTAGAAATTCAATCTTATCTTAGCCTTTGCCAATGGAGAAGATGGATTTTTTAAGTGTGCAAACTCGGCAAAAGACTAAATGAGCCATGTAGCTCTTGGGGCTGGGATTACTATAGCACTGTCCTCTCTTATGAATGATGCATTGTCTAATTCAAGGGACAATTTTCAGGTTTTGAATCTGGATAACTAGAACAGGGAAGCAAAAAGGAGGAGACTGTTTGAAGGAGACAGGACTTGAAAGGGAACAATGTTTTGTCTAAAACGTATTGCATTTAACATACTGCATTTGAAGACCTGGCTCTCTCTAATGCCCTATAAAGTTGTCTGTTTCCCGATAAATTTTTTTCTTGCAAATTAAAAGTACTACTTATGTGGGCCTTAAAGAAGCAACACTTTGGGGGCTTCCCCGGTCCGGGAAGATCCCACATGCCGCGGAGCGGCTGGACCTGTGAGCCATGGCCGCTGAGCCTGCGCGTCCGGAGCCTGTGCTCTGCAACGGGAGAGGCCACAACAGTGAGAGGCCTGCGTACCACAAAAAAAAAAAAAAAAAAAAAGAACACTTTGATAATGCAAACAAATAATCACAATTTGTTGGGTAGATACTGGAGTAATCACTCTTTTAAAAAATAGAAATTGCTTATATTCTACAGTAAACACAGATTAGCCAAGTACCTTTTTGGGTCTCACTATAAGGTTTGAAAATGGTGGCATTTTGGGACCCAGCAAAATATTATTTTCCCGCTTTGTAGCTTGGGAGATAGATCTGGGTTTAAATTCTGCTTCCAACCACTTTACCTTTTAAAACATGAATTTCTTGGCCTGTGAAATGGGTATTATCATAGTACTTCCCTCATACTGATGTTGTGAGAAGCAAATGAGAACGTGTGTAAAGTACTCAGTGCAGAGCCTGGTACCCAGGAGTCACTCAGGTAGCTCTATTAATAAACGATGGCGAGATGGTCCTTACACTATATCAGAGAAAATAACAAGCACAGTTTCCTTTCTCTCACCTACTGAGAGTAGAACAGGGGAGAAAAACCTGAGACTGAAAGAAACTGATGAAGCAGCAGACGACAACAGTTGTTGCTGCTATAGTTGCTTTAAGGCAACAGTAAGGCATTCTTACTATGGGTTGCATTACTTCCATAAATTAAAAATAAGGTTCAACCTCAATTAATTAGAAGCTTTGTTCCAAAATGGTGTCTTACACTCAACTTTTAGAAAAGACAAATGACAAAAAAATAAATAAAAGTACAATAGATATTTATTTTTAAAAAATTCCAGGGGACGTCCCATGTCAGTAAATGGTTCCATTTCTTGTCCCTTGTATGACTACCTTCAGTTACATGAGACCTCTGCCACCACCACACCTCACTACCTTCTTGAAAATATCAAATACTACTTTAGATGGAAAATTTTTTATCCTAATTACCATTTAGAAATAATTCTTAAGTTGATACTTAAAAGAATTGATTTCTACACATCTTCCACAACTATTTGATATAGCTTAATCACACATATATTTTTAATGAGATAATCATTTTGAAGGGAAAGAAAAAGAATTCTATATAAAAATTTTGCTTTATAAAAGTGTATAAATGTCATTCTGCCAGTATACTTCCTATCCCCTCCTTAGGCAGCTGTACCTCTGACAGTGAGGTCATGAATGTTAAAACGTATTTTATTTCTTGGATAGGACTGTGTAGGTGACAGAAAGTATACTTTTCAGGAGTGATTCTGTTAGATATCTTTAAAGTTTCAAAGCAGCTGTTAGAGATGTTAGTATTTCATTCCAGTTCTTGCTGTGTAAGATTATCGCCACAGAGCTGAACTGATGTCTGTTTACTCTGCCACCATCAGCACCACCGCCACCATCTCCATCTTTGGAATTCTCGACCGCACCCCCCGCAGAGAGAGACACGTACAGTGGTGCAGCTTAGTGATACAGAAGCCAGTCTCGGAGTACACCTTTGGATCCTTTGTTTATATCACATTATTGTGAATTCGCACAAATTTCATTTATCGTTTAAAACTGTACTAGGTAACATATTATACTATTATAAAATATCCTTTTCTGTAAATGCACTGAAGATTTTCTTTGGCATTTGTTAAGCCTATTTCTAGCAATATTGCAAATGCTAACCACCAGATAGAAACTCCAAAGATGAGGTCAGTTTTCTTCATTTTCTGAAATTAGTTATTTGAGTTAATAGGAATTCTGTAGGAATACTGACCCACCTCATCTTATGTAACCTTCAAAAGTTAAAACAGGAAAAAAACCAAACCAGCT